TTACTTTCAAATATTAGGTATGTTCTTTTATGTATTTCTTTATCCGAGATTTGAATCCTTTTTGGAATCTAGATTATCATCTATTTGGAGTGAGGCTTTTCTCAGGAGCCCTGGTATTTTAGAATACCATTCCACGGAATGCCAAGTAATGTTCTTAGAAAGCTTTCAGAAACAAGCAAAAAGCTTTCCTACTCCATCCAGCCTTTTCCAGATTAATCCTCTTCTGCAAATGTTTCGCCACTTTTATCTGACTTTAGTTTTTCCATTTATTTTGTAGAATATTTCAACCGACTTTAATTTATATAATTATAAATCATCCTTAATTTTATAAACCAGAATAAAAACATGCACATTAGCTGCATCCTTAGTGATCTGTAACTGATATCAAATAAGCTTCCACATAATATGCATGTAGGGCTCCTTTCATGTGCATGAGAACAATAAATTATATTAGCCTTCGAATCTCATCCCTATGGAAGGAGCCATATGTACTCATTCCATGTGAGCACTGGGCCCTGTTCACACTAACTGCACATTAGCCAGGGGCATGGGCTGTAAAATATCAGAACATCCAAAAAGGCTTTTTACAGTTTAGGAAAGGAAGTATATGAATATTGTAAATCAAATAAATAAGGAATGTGCAATACTAGTAGCTGGCTTCTAAATACAGACACACTGGAGGCTGCCAGTAATAAGACAACTTCCTGTTGAATATTAAGTGATTTTAACCATAAGATCAATTCAATAGTAGAACTGATTACCAAAGGAGCAGTGAACTAGATGTGTGTAAGCAGAGGGGGCTGGACATCATCTGTCATGGATGCTTTGGATTGCTGCATAAATCACAGGATTGAATTCAATGGTCTAACGCCCCTGCCAACCAGTGGCTTCCACAGGGGGATGGTCAAAATCAGAAGGATGGACAGAGCATCACAATACAAGACCCATCATTTTTTTTAAAATTATTTAATCAGTTTGTATAGCTGACCAAGAGATCATGGCCACCATGACAACCAATTTATTACAAAACTGACATGTTGGGGTGGGGGGAGTCACACACTGGTTGTTGTCTTAGAGTGGTAATGATGTGGAGTTGGGGATATTACTATCAGTCCCTTTTCATGGACAGATCACTGTTGACCCTAGTTTACCACACCACCCCCCTCTACAGGGAGGCCAGATCTATTCAATGGTCCCTCTGCGCCCCCAGGCACCTCTTGGACCCAACTGGGTTTTGAAAGAAACAGGGATTGTCCCTGAGGCTGATGCCTTGGTTGCTGCTTGGAACAAGGCAGTGATGGAGGCTTTAGATTGGATTACACCTATCCAGAATCTTGCTGCATGCAGACCCCAGTGCGCCCTTGGTTTACTGAGGCACTCTGCAGGATAAAGTGGCAGAAGAGATGCCTAGAAAGCCACTTGAGGAAAACTAGGAGCAAGTCAGAGCATAAACAGGTAAAGGCCTTCATTAAAGCCTACTTTGTGGCAATAAGAGTGGTAAAATATGTCTGTTTCTCTGATGTGGCCACCTTTGCTTTTGATCCATGCTTCTCCTGGTTTGTCAAGCCTCCAGGTCTGTGTCTGAGTTTCCGGTGGCAATCTATGAAAGAGGTGGTGGTCTGTCCCCTCCTCAAGAAACCATATTTGGATCATGCAGATCTGGACTATTTTCATCTAGTCTCCAACCTTCCTTCCTTGGGGAATTTTTTTTTTGAGAAGGTGGTTGGCCTACAGCTCCGAAGAGTCCTGGAGGAAGCAGATTATTTGGACCCCTTCCAGTCAGGTTTCAGACCAGGATATGGTACCAAGGCAGCTTTGACTGTGCTTGACTACCTCTGGCAGGCTCGGGATGGAGGAAGTGCATCCATCCCGGCCTTCCTTGACCTCTCAGCAATATTTAATAACATTGACTATAGTATCCTTCTGGACTGGCTGAGGGGCTTGGGGAGCTCTTTTGCAGTGGTTGTTCTCCTTCCTCCAGGGCTGATTCCAGCTGCTGATGGTGGGAAGGGGAAGGGTCTACTCCTAGACCCCTACTTTGTGGGATGCCTCAGGCCTCTCCCCTCTCCTTTTTAACATACATGGCTGGGAGAAGTCATCTGTCAGCATGGGATACAGCAATTGTATTACACTAACTGGATAAATAGACTAACCTAGCAAATAAAAACCTGTGCTTTAAAAAAGGATTCAAACCATGTCAACATGCAGGGTGAATAGATAGTATTGAAATAGATGGATAAATGGTAGTCCTACATTGGGCGATTTAGACTCAACTTGCTGAAGAACTTTGAAATATGATTCCCTTAACCAAAACAGAGAGGCAACACAATGTTCCTCAATGACTTTATGTCTTCTTTAAGCTTCCCAGTGTCTCCTACCTTGACAAAGGTATATTGCTTGTACAGAAGCATCTTCTGGCTTTGGTAAATACTAGAGAACACCAAAAGGAGAGTGTGGCTTTTTCCAGTAGCATTTGCAAAAACTAGAAGAGATTTCTATGGAGTGCTGCACACGGAGAAAAACCTTCAGCTTTTGCAAGTATAGGTGATGTTGAGGAGGGCCTCTGAAAAGGAAAGCAATGTGGTTGCTCTCGGGCCCTGCATCCACTCCACAAAAAAAAAAAAGTAACCTTCCCTTTACATTTTGATTCTGCCAGTTCCCCTGAACTTATTTAAAACATTTAGATGGCCACCCAACTCTTAACAATCTGACTCTGGGTGGCATACAAAATCATTAAATAATGTGTAAAAAAAATCACTAAAGCAAATTAAAATAAGGGGATCAGGACTAAAATATATTATATCTCACCAATGGAAACTCTATTCATCTTGACCTCTGTGCCCAGGGAACAAACCAGGTCTTAACTGTCTTCCTAAAGGCTTGCAAGGTCAGGGCCAACCTTATACTGGAGGTGGAGGAGATTGTTCCAAAGAATAGAGGTCACCATTGAGAAGATATATATGGGACTTATAAGGTTTCAGAGAAGGGATCTAAAATGTGCCCTCCCTGTCAGAATGCGTGGGAAACGCAGATATCTTTGAGAGAAGGTGGTTCCACAGTAACCTGGTCCTATGCCATGTAGGGCTTTATAGATGATAACCAGGACCTTGAATTGCACTGGAGGCCTATAAGGAGCAGGTCTAGCTTGCTGAGTAAAAGTATCACATAGGTGTAACAAGGAGCACCCATAACTACTCATGCCATTGAATTCTGGACCAGTTGAAGCTTCTGGATGGTAGTCAAGGGCAGCCCCATGTAGAGTAAGTTGCAGTAATCCAATTAGGAGGTGATTAAGATGTGAGTGACCATGAGCAGGTCCCCTGATCCAGGAACTGATATAACTGGCACATGAGATAAAGTCATGCAAAGGCTGGTCTTTTCAAGCAGGAGCAGTGAGTCAAGGAGCACCTCCAAGTTACAAGCACCTCCAAGTAGTGTTTCTAGGACCGGTAGGGAA